GGATAATGGAGTGGGCCAGCCAGGGCTACCTGGGGCCCCAGGGCAGGGAGGTGCCCCTGGACCACCTGGCCTCCCTGGGCCAGCTGGCTTGGGCAAACCGGGTTTGGATGGGCTTCCTGGGGCCCCTGGAGATAAGGGTGAGTCGGGGCCTCCCGGAGTGCCAGGGCCCAGGGGGGAGCCAGGGCCTCTGGGCCCAAAAGGGCCCCCAGGGGTGGACGGTGTGGGGATACCAGGGGCGGCAGGGGTACCAGGGCCACAGGGCCCAGCAGGGGCCAAAGGGGAACCAGGAACCCGGGGCCCCCCTGGCCTGATAGGCCCCACTGGCTATGGGGTGCCAGGACTGCCAGGCCCCAAGGGGGACAGGGGCCCAGCTGGGGTCCCAGGACTCTTGGGGGACAGGGGTGAGCCAGGTGAGGATGGAGAGCCAGGGGAGCAGGGCCCGCAAGGCCTTGGGGGCCCCCCAGGACTTCCAGGGTCTGCAGGGCTCCCTGGCAGACGTGGGCCCCCTGGGCCCAAGGGAGAGACAGGGCCTGGAGGACCCCCAGGATTGCCTGGTATTCGGGGTGACCAGGGGCCTAGTGGCCTGGCTGGAAAACCTGGGCTCCCAGGAGAGAGGGGACTTCCTGGGGCCCATGGACCCCCTGGACCAACTGGGCCCAAAGGTGAGCCGGGTTTCACGGGCCGCCCTGGGGGACCAGGGGTAGCAGGAGCCCTGGGGCAGAAGGGTGACTTGGGGCTTCCTGGGCAGCCCGGCCTGAGGGGCCCCTCAGGAATCCCAGGTCTCCAGGGCCCAGCTGGTCCTATCGGGCCCCAGGGACTGCCAGGCCTGAAGGGTGAACCCGGCTTGCCAGGACCCCCTGGAGAGGGGAAAGTGGGGGAACCCGGAGTGGCTGGGCCTACAGGGCCCCCTGGGGTCCCCGGTTCCCCAGGACTCACTGGTCCTCCTGGGCCTCCCGGGCCACCTGGTCCCCCTGGGGCCCCTGGGGCCTTTGATGAGACTGGCATCGCTGGCCTGCACCTACCCAACGGTGGTGTGGAGGGCGCTGTGCTGGGCAAGGGGGGCAAGCCACAGTTCGGGCTGGGCGAGCTGTCGGCCCACGCCACACCCGCCTTCACCGCTGTGCTCACTTCGCCCTTCCCCGCCTCGGGCATGCCTGTTAAGTTTGACCGGACTCTCTACAATGGTCACAGCGGCTACAACCCGGCCACTGGCATCTTCACCTGCCCTGTGGGTGGGGTCTACTACTTTGCTTACCACGTGCACGTCAAGGGCACCAACGTGTGGGTGGCCCTGTACAAGAACAACGTGCCAGCCACATACACCTATGATGAATACAAGAAGGGCTACCTGGACCAGGCATCTGGCGGGGCTGTGCTCCAGCTGCGGCCCAACGACCAGGTCTGGGTGCAGATGCCGTCGGACCAGGCCAACGGCCTCTACTCCACCGAGTACATCCACTCCTCCTTTTCAGGGTTCTTGCTCTGCCCCACATAACACCACGGGGGCCCTGCTGCCTTGGCCTTCTCCTCTTTAGTGGTAGACATTCTCAGTTACAAGAACCTCCATTTAAAGAAAAAAAAACAAAGGCTGAACAGACGTGGAAACAGGCGGCCGTGGCCTTGGCCCGAGGAGATGGATTCGGTTTCTCCCTCCACGCAGGCTGAGGCGGTTCCTGGAAGAGGCTGGCCTGGGTTCCTCTCCCCCAAGTGTCTGTGCAGTGCTGGGGCTGCACCCCCATTGCAGGCGGGGCTCCAGGACGCTCAGCCCAGCTGACGGAGACCCCTGCCCCGTTGGGAGTCCTGGGCTCTGCTGGGCGGTGAAGGATGCTGCTTCTCGGGAGTCAGAGCTGAGAGGGGCCTGCGCTCCCTGTGCCGGTTTCCCAGGGAGACACGGGCCAAGCCCTGCCCTTCCTGCTGGCCTCCGGATGCCACCTGATTAAGGAATGAAGCATGGCCACCCTCGGATCTTGGCTGGGGCTCTTCCAGCTCTCCCGGGACCTCGGGCAGATGATGGTGGGTCCCCTGAAGGGTTTTTGTTTCCAGGGGAAAGCAAAGGGCGAGGGGCATTGAGGTGCCAGGAGCCAGGACTGCAACCCCAGGGTGATGCCGTGGCATCAGGCCTGTACAAGGTGCGTGGCCCCTCCTGCAGGCTCCCGGGAAGGGCCAGCCCCCTCTCTGCTCCGGCTGCGGCCACAGGAGCAGCGGTTTGTGACAGGAGGGGCCTGGACCCGGGGCAGGATGGCAGCCCCTCACATTCATCTCCAGCTCCCAGCCTGCTCTGCTCAGCCTAAGGGCCGCCGCACAGGCCCTTGGGGACTGCCGTAGCAGGCACGAGGCAGGAGCGACCGTCGGTGAACACGAGCGTCCTCCCGTTCTCTCCTTTCACCTGCTGGGGGAGGGCTGATGTTCTCATACAAAATTGTAAGGTATCCTTGCCACCCCCAACCCGAGTGTCCCCAAGGCAGAGAGCCTCTTTTTTGGCCCTCAGAACAAGGTACACACAAGCTCGGGGATGAAGAAAGCTCCTGCCTGCTGCTTCTCAACAAGAACCGTATGGAGGGTATGTGTGTCTACCAGGGGGTTAATCTGAAGGGGCTTCCTCTCCTTCCACCCTCTGGTTCCAATTTCCTGTTCTAAGTAGGATTAGGGCCCAGAAGGCTGAGGCTCTGAGAAAAAGGGTGCCAACAGGCCCCTTTGGAATGAGTTGACTGGATGTTCCTGCCGTTTTCCCCAAGCAGAGCCCCCACCTGCAGGAAACAGGCAAGATCCCTCTCCCACCCCCTAGTTCAAGCTCAGTAGATAAAGCAGAGATTAGTGCTGGGGCAAAGCTGGCCACTTGCCCTGGTGGCTCTGGGCGTCTCCGTCAGCCCTCCCCAGGCCGGCCCATTTCTCTGTACCGAGTGAACCTGGGTCACCCAGTGTGGTCTCACATTGCTCCAGTTCTGGCCAGCACCAGACTGTCCATGCTGAAAACGGGAGGGCGGTGGCTGACTGCTGGCTCACTGGGCTGCGGTCCCCTGGGCCCCTGGCCAGGCCTCCCCCGCTGACCCACTTCTCCCAACAAAGTAGGCCATTTGACTGCTTGCTTTGTCTTTCAAAAGGAGCAAAACCCAAAGCTGCCAAGTGACACTTTAACAGGTTTTGGCTGGGGTTCATGGTGGATTTCTTGATTCCCGATGCCCAAGAGAAGGAGTCTCAAGCCAAGCTTGGTGCGGTCCCCTGCTCAGCCTCCTTCCTGGGCAGAAGCCACCACCACCTGACCAGTCAGGGAGGGGTTCTAATGGGCAGAAACTCACCAGCCCTCAAGGGGAGCTCAGGGGACTAAGAAGGGCACTGGGGGAGGCAGAAAAAGCTATTTCATAGAACTGAGCTTCCGCTAAATGTCATTCCTGAAGCCTTCGGGGAGGGGTGGCTGGTGTTTCTGAAACGTCTGTGGGATTTTAGTTCCAGGTGTCCACTTAAATGACCAGCTTTGATAAATGATGCCAAGTTTTAACTATGAAAACTACAGTACCTTGGTGCATTTTTATATTCTGATTCCTAGGTTTCTTTTTTTTTTTTTTAAGATTAAGATTTAAGTATTTTCATTAGTGATTTCATTTCTAACTTGGTATAGGAAGCTTAGTTCTCTACATACCTATTATGTGCCCTGTGTCACAGAAAATTCGGGAAAAAATGCACTTGGGAATCAAAAAAAACCCCACAACCCCAAAAGCATGGGACTTATCTTTGAAAAGAAAAACAGCAACATTGACTGTATTGACACACCTCAATAAAACCTGTTGTGTAAGACAGCGCTGTGCAGGAACTGGCGTTGATGGGGAGGCCTCTCAAGCCTCTGGATTTCACGGGGCATCCAGGGAGCGCTCTGAGGCTCCTGCTCGGCGCCTCCTCCCTAGGCCCCCGGCCCCAGGCTCTGTCGCCACCACGGCACAAATGCTCAATGCTCCTAAGCTGCCAAGGCTCTGCACCAAGTAAACGCCAAGAGGCATTTGAAGCAACCAAGGCAAGGCAGTGACTGGGCCTGGAGCTGGGGGAGATGGTTCGAGCTTCCCTAGAACATTCCGGCAAGCTCTCAGGGGTGCTGGAGCAGGAGGGCAGGCTCAGGATCCCAAGGACCAAGTTTCAACATCTGATAAAAATTATGAATGAACTCATGAATCTTTGACCCTGAGGGTGGGGCCCATGCCAGGCCCCTTGCTAAAGGCACGACTGGAGGTGCTGTCCTGGACTGGAAGTGCCTGCCCACAGCTTCCCATGCTCAGCACCAGGCATCTGTCCCCAGCTCAAGGGATGGGGGCAGCAAACCGGAAACAATCCAAGCCCTGGAAAGGCCTTTGGTTTGGCCTGGCCTGGCAGGACACCCTCCTGGCTCAAAGCAGACCTGCTCACCAGGCCTTGAACCTCAGGCTAGCCGCAAAGCTGGGCGTGCTTCTCTCTCCACTGAGGCTGGAAAGGTACTCTGAGAATATCCCTGAAAGTTTAAGGGGGGAGGTCTTCTCCGTTTTAATTTTCCTTTCCTCAAAATGGTGTACAGAACTGTCTCTCAAGCCAAGGCCTTTGACCGGGGCCTGAGGTACAGAATGAAGCACACGGCCTTCCGTCCACGCAGGGCACAGGCATGACGCGCCCTCCTCGCCCCATGGTTGGCCATCCGGTGGGAGAGGGTGCCCTCTGCAGCCTCCTACAGGCGTCCTGTTCTTGGGTCCTGCTTGGGGAGCAACCCATGGAGAAGTCAGGCTCTGAGACCACGGACGTCTGGCCTGTTTTGCCCACTGCCTGGGCCACTCTGACCACAGGACCAAACCATGCCCCCTCTGCCCTTTCTGGCGGAACAGCCGTGCAGCCCACAGGAAGAACTGGGGGGGGCCTGCCTGACACCCCAGCAGCCTTGTGTTCCTGGCTCCTGGCAGAGCCGATAAAGAGGCACCAGGCTTGAGAAGGTCAAGGGTGGGGTGGAAGAGAATCCATTCAGGGCACAGGAGAGATTTGGCAACCAGTGGCAGGATTTACCAACAACTGTTTATTGCTGGGAGTTCTGCTGGAAGCTGTTACTAAGCCCCATGGCAGTCGAGGGCCAGGCATCTACATCAGCTGGGCCCAAGTGCGGGCTTCCCGACCCTGTAAACTCACTGCCCGGGGCTCGGCCCAAAGACGTGTTCTCTGGGAAACTGGCTAAATCCCAACACGGAGAAATGATGCTATTGCTCATCATTTCTGGCCCCCTCCCAACCCCATGTCTTAGATAATAAAGGAAAATGCCACAAATACCCTTCCAAGATCAGAGCTGCCTGGATCCCTCCCACGTGCCCGAGGCGCCAGGCTTGCCTGAGGCTCTGCAGGGAGCCGGAGCCCGGGCTTCGTGGAGGCACCGGCCCCCCATGCTCATGGTGCTGTGGCCTCCCCCAGAGGCCCCACCCCAGCGGTGTGCTCTGCCCACAGGGCAGGATGATGGAGGCAGCCACCCGCGCCCCTGGGGAGCCTCTGGGTTTCCAATCTGAACTGTAGTTGGTCCTGCTGGACACAGCGGAGCCCCAGCAGCTGTGGCCCTCACAGACTCTTCTGGAAGAGCCGGTGCAGGCTCTGGGCCAGGACGTCTGTCTCCTCGTAGCCCTCGCAGCTTTGCTGCCAGCTCTCTGGCACCTGTTCCATCCCATAGTAGGCCCCGGCAATGGCCCCAGCCATGGTGGCAATGGTGTCTGTGTCGCCCCCCAGGGAGATGGAGTAGATAAGAGTCCTTTGGAGACTGTTGAAAGCAGAGGGAATCTCGGGGTCAGGCTCCATGCAGCGCAGGAAGCAGTAGATGGCAGTGGGCACAGATTCAAAGGCAGCAATGCCATTCCCTGTAGGGAAACCAACGTATGGAGACATGGCACTCACCCCCTCTCTATGTCTCCAGGCTTCTTCTGGTCACTCACCCCAAGCGAATACTCTCAGCTTCAAGCCGGGCCGTGATTCAGACCATGGGCTCTAGAATTAGACTACCCAGGCTCAAATTCTGGCTCTCCCTCCTGCTAGCCATGGGATCAGGAAAGTTCCCATTGGGTACATGGGTGGCTCAGTCAGTTAAGGGTCTGACTTCGGCTCAGGTCATGATCTCCCGGTTCATGGGTTCGAGCCCCACCTCGGGCTCTGTGCTGACAGCCAGCTCAGAGCCTGGAGCCTGTTTCAGATTCTGTATCTCCCTTTCTCTCTGACCATCCCCTGCTCATGCTCTTTCTCTCTCTCTCCTCTCTCTCAGAAATAAATAAAAAACATAAAAAAAAAAAAAAAAAAAGGAGGGGCGCCTGGGTGGCTCAGTTAAGCATCCGACTTCGGCTCAGGTCATGATCTCACGGTTCATGGGTTCGAGCCCCGCGTTGGGCTCTGTGCTGACGGCTAGCTCAGAGCCTGGAGCCTGTCTTCAGATTCTGTATCTCCTGCTCTCTCTGACCCTCCCCTCCTCACGATGTCTCTCTTTCTCTCTCTCAGAGATAAATAAAACATTAAAAAAAAAAGTTAAAAAAAAAAAAAGAAACCCTTGTTAAAAAAAAAAAAAAAAAAAAGGAAAGTTCCCTAATGGCTAAGATTCCTGTTTCTGGGATTTGACACCTCAGGCAGAGAGGGAATGAAGTCCGAGACTTTCACAGGGCCACAGGTGAAGTCCTGCACGGTGCCCAGAACACAGGGCGAGAGCCGTGTAAGGAAGCATTGGTTATCAACACCCACTGTCCAAACCAGTAGCCACCTGCCATTTCTGGGGACATTTATCTGTAAGGCTGAAGCTGCTACGGCCCTAGAGGAGCCCCAGAGCAGGAAGGTGCTGTGCTTACAACCCCACATGGGGCCTGCACAGAGCTGGCTCTGCTGTCACAGCAGCCCCAGGCAAAACCACGAGCGCGGGCACGCCGCCAGGGTCCCGTCTTGCCCCACGACCAGGCCTAGCCGTGAGGATGACGGATGCAGTGGGGGGGCCTACCCACCTAGCTCAGACACCACCTCCTCTCTGGACACGGAGTCCTGCTCTAGAAGGGCTCCGATCTTCTTCAGTCGGCTGGAGTAGGGACGTTCTTCCATGCCCAACCTGTGGGGCAGGGGTGAGATTTCAGTGAGGCCGGAGCCAGGAGGAGGGTAGAGATGGAAGGCAGGGGAAGGGGTGTGGGAGGGCAAGGCAGGATGTGATCAGGCTGACACCCAGCACAGATTTCTGACAAGAAGTGGGTCTTTTTTATTCCTCTGGTATTCTAAGAGCCTCGAAGCAGAGTCAAGGCAAAGGGGCTCTTCACCCTCCTCCTAAGAATCTGCAGTTAAAGAAGGGAGGTTTCAGGGGCGCCTGGGTGGCTCAGTTGGTTAAGCATCCAATTCTTTTTTTTTTTTTTTTAATGTTTATTCAGAAAGATTGAGAGGGAGGAGGTGGTGGAGGGGCAGAGAGAGAGGGAGACAGAGAACTGAAGCAGGCTCTGCGCTGACAGCAGTGAGCCCAATGTGGGGCTCAAACTCGTGAACCTTGAGATCATGGCCTGAGCTGAAGTGGGATGCTTAACCGAATGAACCACCCAGGCGCCCCTCTTTTTTAAGTATGTGAGGATTTAAAAAAATATTTATTTATTTTGAGAGAGAGTGAGAAAGAGAGCGTGAGCAGGGGAGGGGCAGAGAGAGAAGGAGAGAGAGAATCCCAAGTAGGACCCACGATATCAGCGCAGAGCCCAACGTAGGGCTCGACCTCACAAACTGTGAGATCATGACCTGAGCCGAAATCAAGAGCTGGACGCTTAACTGCCTAGGCCACCCAGGCGCCCCAGCGTCTGACTCTTGATTTTGGCTCAGGTCATGATCTCACGATTCATGAGATCAAGCCCTGTGTTGGGCTCTGCGCTGACAGCTCAGAACCTGCTTGGGATTCTCTCTCCCTCCTGCTCGCACATATGACTGTGCGCGCTCTCTCTCTCTCTCTTAAAATAAATAAATGAACTTAAAACTATGGCCATGCCAGAGGACCCCGCCACGCACGCACACCCGTAAATATCCAGCCGGCCTCCACCCCATATACTCACTCCCTGGCATCCGAGACAGACTGGGCGTCACTCTCCAGCTCTTCCATGTGGCCCAGGAGTTGCTGGAGGAAGTGCTCACTGGATGACTCCCCCTGCAAAGCCAGGTGCACGGCCAAGGCCTGCAGGATGGCACCATTGTAGCCCAGGGAGGAGGCGTGTGTCAGCTGGGCCGAGAGCCGGGCAAACTAGGGCAGAGGCAGCAGAGGCAAAAGACGCTGTCACAGAACCAGACCTGCAGAGAAGAGGGGTGGCGGGGGAGAGCCCGGCAGCCAGCCCGCCTGGATTACCTTCTGCACGTCCTGGACGCTGCTGTAGGCCAGCGAGATGCCGGCCACCCGCATGGCACCCCCGTTGCCGTAGGAGCCTTTCCCATTAAACTGGGCCCGGGCAGGCTCGAAGACGTCACGGCACTTGGGGCTCAGGAGCTTCTTGAAGACAGTGACTACTCCGGCGCCGTAGCCCCGGTCAGGGTCTTTCTTGTACTCCTGAGCAAATCTAGGGGACGGAATGGAGACGGGATGAGGAACGAAACGATGCCTGTCAGGGCTGGGAGAGAACTCCAGCTGCCAGGAAAAGAGGAGGCATTAGGGACCCGAGGTGCCTGTCCCAGCAGGGCTGTCACCTCTGGCTTGGGAAGGCGCGGCAGCATCACAGCGTCCTGCTCAGGTGGGGGCCCAGCATGCACTGACGACACCGCTCTGGTCAAGCAGCACAGTTATTCTGCCCACCTGCGTTGCCTCACCCTGGGCTCCGCCCTCTCACCTGTGAGCCATGTCCACCTCGTCGAAGGCCTCCTTGGCCAGCAGAGACTGCACGAGGGCCCTGGCCATGGCTGTGTCGTCTGTGTAGTACAATGCTTCTGCAGGGACAGGGCGGGGTGGGGGTGAGACCACACTGCAGGGGTTGAAGGTGGTGGCTTTGGCCTCCTGCCCGCTCCACCCCCCTTTTATTTTTTTTAAATGTTTTTTTTAATTTATTTTTAGGAGAGAGAGAGAGAGACAGTGTGAGCAGGGGAGGGTCAGAGAGAGAGGGAGTCACAGACTGAAAATAGGCTCCAGGCTCTGAACTGGTAGTCAGCACAGAGCCCGACGCGGGGCTCAAACCCACGAACCGTGAGATCATGACCCAAGCGAAAGTCGGACGCTTAACCGACTAAGCCACCCAGGCGCCCCTCCACCCCCCTTTTAAAGTAAGCTCTATGTCCAGTGTGGGGCTTAAAGTCATGACCCTAAGATCAAGAGTCCATACTCTACTGACTGAGCCAGGCGCCCCTGGCCGCCCACTCTTATTTGCCAGTTCAAAGATGCCAAGATGCCAGAAGTAAGTCTCTCACTCCCACCCAGTTTCCTGAGCTGCAGGCCCTGGGATTTTCAGCAATTGCTTATTCTGAGTCAGTTATGACCTGCTGACTTCTCAAGGAAAATCTGCTCCCTCCCACCTGCCCTGACTGTAGCTCTCCTGCTCCAACCCCACCCTCCAACCCAGCCTATGTGTGCAGCCAGAAAATTCTTTCTCAAAGCAGACCATCACTTTCTTCAACTCACTCTCCTGCTCAAAATGCCTGTCTGTCGCTTTCAGGATTAAGCCAGATTCACTGCCTTGGCATCCCTTCCCTGTAGCCCTTCCCTCCGCATCTCTTACATCCCCCTGCACCCCTCCAGAGCCCCAGGGCCAACTCTGGGGCCCCGGCCGAGCCTCCCTCCACCCGCCCCGCTCCTCCACCACCTCCTCCTCCTCCTCATCGGTGCTGGTGCCGGAAGCACTGCTCTGGCACATCTGACTCAGCAACACCGGTTATATGAAGATGTCCCAAGTAGGCTGTGAGCCAGCAAGGGACTGGGACTTGGTTATACTGCAGGCAGAGGGCTACAGAGAAGGAAGCACACTTTCTTGTGAGCCCCAAGCCCCACTCCTCTCTGTGTATCGCAAGCCCCCCTGCCTCACTTTCTCCTCTTTGCTCTTAGGAGGCTCCCATCCTGGCTTCACAAGGAAGAACGGTCAACAGGCTTCTTGCCCACAGCCACACTCTTTCGTTACCCCTTGACCAAGTGAGTCTCTCTTCTCGTCCACCCAGCCCAGCCCCTCAGGGGACTTGTTCTTCCCCTTCTCTCCTGGCCCCTCAACCCCTCCCTGTGTGGCGCAGCAACACCCATTCTCCCTTTGTGTGGTTCCTGCACCCTTCCCTTCCTCAGGGACCCACTTCTCTACCATCCTCAGCCCGCTTGATTCGGGTAGAAGGTTCACCCCACCAGTAGCCTCCTCAAACAGCACACCCTACGCCTTTGTTCAGGGATGGAAAGAGGGCCAAGCCAGACCAAGAAGACGCAGTCTGGGACATCTGCTGGGGCTGCTGCAGACAGACTCTTCCTCTGCTAGGGCTGCTGAGGGCACCCCACGGGGAGGGTCGGCCAGAGCAAGCGAAGCCAACGCGGAAGAATGTGGATCTGAATGAGAGGAGCTGGGTCTTGAGGACGTGACCTGAGCTCCTGGATTTCAGCTCTGCACGAAGCCAGACCTACCTCTGGACTTCGCAGTTATGTCACCCAATGAATTCTCTTCTCGCTTAGGTGGTTCTGAGTTTTCCGCTACTTGCATCCAAAAGGTCCTAAAACACCTGCCAACCTAAAATGTTTTCCCTTCATCTTAGCATCAAACCAAAGATGAAATGCGAAACCTTCCCTCCATCTTATCTTTGCCTCAACCATGGCTCCTGGCTGTTTCCCATCATTCCAGACCTCACTCTATTTCTTCCTCTACTTCTTCCTAAACCCCCTGAAATCTAACTTCCAGGTTTCAACGTTCTACTGAAAATGCTTTCTTTTTAATGTTTATTTTTTTATTTCTCACAGAGAGAGACAGACAGACATAGACAGAGAAAACAAGCCGGAGAGGGTCAGAGAGGGAGACACAGAATCTGAAGCAGGCTCCAGGCTCTGAGCTGTCAGCACAGAGCCCAATGCGGGGCTCCAACCGACAAACTCTCAAGTTGGACGCTTAACCAACTAAGCCACCCAGGCTCCCCATCTACTGAAAAGGCTTTTCGAAACCAGACTTCGTTCTTCTGAACCTCTCTGTAGCATGACACCACTGACTAGTGTCATGCAATTCTCCGGGGGTACTGCTGACACCCATGCCCCCCGCTTGAAGTCCCATCAAGCCGTTTCTCTCTCTAGTTCCTTTTGGTCCTTCAGGGTTCTGAGTATGACCCCCTTTTGCTTACTATTCTACATGCTCTCCGAAAATCATCCTCCCCTTGACCTCAGACCTGATGCTGGTCAGAGGCCTGGGCGAGGACCTGAGAGCACAAGGAGAGCAGTGGAGGCGAGCCAGACTTGATACACGTGGCGCAGCACTGCCGACGCCTGGGCTACAGCAAGCTGGGGTGAGAGGAGCTGAGGGCAGAACGCAAGGCCAAGGGCGGTAGAAGGTGACACTGGAGAGTCAGGCGAGGGCCGGCTCGGTAGGGCACGCTACAGAATCTGGTTCTATTCTGAGGGTAAGGGGAGATCCCTAGAGAGCTTCCTGCGGCAGACGCCCCCGTCACATGTGTTTCCGAGAACGCTCCCTGATGGCTGGAGAATGTGATTCGGGAGAACTGGGTAGAACGGGCAAAATCGGCAGCGGCGTGGACACTGGACAAGGCGCAATGCAGGAGAACACCTGGGTTTCCGGCTTGCAAGGCAGAAAGGATGGTGCTGCCAGACCGCGATCTGGGGCGAGACGTGCGAAGCTGGGCCTCGAACGCCGACGCGCTGAGTCCGAGCGGCCTGTGGCTCATCCAGACCCGCGTGGCCTTACCTCCGATCCCCGTCCCTCCCGGCCCGAGGACCCCGCGGACCCCCGGCCTCCGCGGCCTCACGTGCTCCCGGCCCCGCCCACCTGTCCGCGCGCTCCCCGGCGAGCCCGGGTCCGGCTCCAGGCTCTGGACGTGACGCAGGACTGACGTCAGAGTGACGGTATCGTGCGCCTCGTACACGGAGCCCACGCAGTCCCCGAGCAGCGCGCCAGCCAGGCAGCCTCGGAAGCGAGAGAGGGAGCGGGCCGCCCCAGCCCCCGCGCAGCCAGCCGCCGTCATCGCCGCCGCCGCCGCCACCGCCATCCGCGCGGAGCAGTCGCCACTTCCGGTACGGCCGGCGCGCGCCCCAGGGCAACGCTTCCCGCCAGCCCCACAGCGCCGCCCAGCGGCCCGGAGCCTCGGCGTCTCTCCGCGCCCACAGCGCCGCCCAGCGGCCCGGAGACGCAGCTCTGGCGTCAGACATCACTGGTTTGGGCCTGGCCTCCGTGTTTAGGCCCATTCTCCTGTAAATGTCACAGACGGGGCGGGCCCCGCCACTAAAGGGTCCCTGAGAGGAGGGCACTGAGCCAGAGCAGCGGACCATGGCAGCCCTTCAGGCCACTGTCTCCATCCCCCCTCCCCCTCCTCGCTCCCGTGGCCTGCTTTAAGGAAGCCTTGCTCTGGGCCCCCTCAATCCCAGCCCTCCCCGGGGCTGTCCCAGCTCTTGGCTCCCTCAGGCCTGTCCCCCCACCTCCCACAGCCCCCCACCTCGGGCCTCTCCTAGGCATCAGGAGGGCAGACAAGGGTCCAGCTGGAGAAAAGCGGGTGAGCAGTCATGCCGCCGCTAGAGCCCAGGGGATGCTGGCCTAGTCCAGAGAGGGCTTCCCTGAGGACGGAGGAGGGAAGGCATCAGAGTGAGAGCAAGGAGCTTGTGGGGATGACGTTCCTCATCTTTGCTCTTCCACACACAGGAGGGTTGGGAGGCCTCTCGCTCCCTGCTGGCCACATGCAGCCGCACCAGAAGAGCATCTGGACTGAGTACCACATTTATTCGATTCATTCTCTCCACCCACCTCCCTCCTTCCATCTCCCATCTGACCCTCGGCCCCCCAACACTAGACCAGCTCCAGCTGGCAGCTTTTGAGTGGACTCAGGGTGCGGTTTGTGGTCCGGCTGAAGGTGTCCACCTCAGGCACAAACTTCTCAGCAGGCACAGTCAGCTTCCGACGGGTGTCCATGCACTTGGTGTCCAACAGCATGGAGTTGGCCTTGCAGGCGATGTCAGCCTGCAGCCTGGCCAGGTGCTTGTAGAGGGCGTCCAGCGCGTCCCTAGGGAGGAGGCATGATCAGCCCATCACCCCTGAGTGGCACTGGGAGCAGAGCTCTCTGGCCTTCCGTCAGGAAGACTTCGAGGAAGCCAGAAGGCAGCAAAGGCCCCGTGGGTGGAAGGGGTCTGCCTCCCCCTGCTGCCCACTCCGCAGACTTACTGTGCTTGCGCCAGCTTCTGTTTCAGGGCAGCGATGGTTGCCTCTAACTGGTGAACCTCATCCGTGAGGCCGTACTGTGCCTAGAGAGGGGGAGTGGGTTGGGAGGCCCAGGTCAGTGTATTCTCCTTGAGTTTGGGTGTTGCCCTCCACCAGCACCCCTGCTCCACCAGGAACATGTGCTGGGGTGGGGAGTCCTGAGGAAGCCTTGGCAGGGACCCCGTGTCTCACTGAGGAGCCTGCGCACCTGGTCCCGGCAGAGCTCCACATTGGGCCGGTAAGTTCTGGACTCCAGTCGGGTATGGCATAGCTTCAGGCTCTGTAACTTTCTGCGCAGATCCTCCTCCAGGTGCCGGATGTCCTCCTGCAGCTCGGCGATCTCGTCCAAGGTCTGCAGGGACAGGGTGACTGGTCTCCACCCGCTGAACCCACCGTGGTGCACCCCGCCCCCAGGGCTTCCTGTGGGCTCTCGTCCCACGGCAGGATGTCCGGGCCCCGGGGACTAAGCAGAGGAAGCTCACATTCTTCTCCTGCCACCGGAGCTCGCTGTACACTTTCTCCATCTCCCGCAGCCTCTTCCTGAAGGCAAATTCTGTTGCGACCCTCTGGGCTTCAAGTTCATTGTTGGTCTGAAGGACGGGAGGCAGGGCAAGGGGAGGCTGTAAGCTCATGGCCATTGAGGAAATTGCTCAGGTAAGGGGATGGCCACAGGGAACAAGTGGGCCACCAACTGGCCGTGGGAGAGCAGGGTATGGGGAGTGGCCAGGCACCTTGGCAATAGTTAGGGCGATGGCCTCCCTCAGCTCGATCGCTTCTTTCATCTCAGCCTCTGCCCGGTCCTTGTTGAACTGGCTGAAGTCATCCCACTGCTGGAGGGTAGAGGAGCTGCGGGTAGTAGGAGACACCGAGTCGTAAGAGTATGGCCTTGTGAAGTGGGGAGAAGAAACTGGGGGAAACACTTCTTACCCATTGGGGACACGTGTGGGATTAATCTTCAGAGAGATGTTGGGGGACTTGAGGTTGAGAGAGAGGCAGCCTCTGTCAATGTCCAACGTCTCCATTTTGTCCCGGTGGTCAGAGTTGAGCTGCTGTCGGACTTCCTGCAGGAGGCTGGGGAAGGGCCAGACTCAATCAGGAACCCTCCCCCCAAGGTCCCAGGACATAGCCCCCATTGTACTGAAGGGACATGAGGGCTGGGCCAGCTGGGCTGACAGTGGAGCTGCTGCAACAGAGACAAAGACCAGCACAGCTGGAAGAGCTCCCTACGGACAAATCGGTGACACCCACATGCTGGCACACACTCACGGGGACACATGCATGCAGCTACAGCCACGGGGGCTCACACACACATGCGCACAAGAAGGTCCTTGGGGGTGGTGGCAAATAGGCTTCATCTCTCATGCTTCCCATCTGTTGGTGATGGCAGCAGGGTCGTGGGAAGCATTCTGAGACCGTGTCCAGGTGCTGGAAGCGGCAATAAAATCAGCGAGTGGTTTCTGCCAGGGACACAGCAGGGGCAGGAGGCAGCCTGAAAGCCAGCTGCTCATTACCCACAATACACACTTCTCACGGAAGACACACAGCCTTCAAGTGCAGGTGAATATGGGAATGAGACGGCTCCCTTACCAGAGCTTCTCGAAGGCCTGGCTAATCTTTTGTTGCAAGGCCTTCTTGGTGGCATCAATGACCTCCACCTCTTTGTGCAGCTCTTCCTCCACAGGATCCTTCACCACATCAATGTCGCGCCGACTGTCCCGCAGGGTCAGGCACTCGATTGCCACATCCAGAGGCAGGTTCTTGGCCTGCAGGTTTTGCTCTGTTGACTCTTTCATCTAGAAGGGGGGACACAGGACGCTAGTGGGACATCCACGGGGAAGTAGCTCTCATTTCCACCTTAGCAGAGGGGCCAGTAGGTGACTCAGACAGACATGCCGCCCAATACCCCCATCAAAGGTGCATGGATCCCAAAGTGGGGAGGGTGGGGAGGTCCTTGCGGCAGGGTCCCCTGGCACCCTGCCCTGGCTCCCTGCCTGTGTTAGGGCATCGATCTCAGCATCTAAATCTGTCAGACACTTGTCCAGCGTCTCCTTCCAACGGTTGACAGTATCAATCCTCTCTGCCAGCCGAGTCCTATTGTCATGTTCATCCCAAATGGTCTGGAAGAGACAAAGACAAAGAGGGTGTAGGGTTGGGGCTCTCCCTTCGCCCACCAAACTAGGCTCTGGCCTCCAACCTGGTTGTTGGTCTCATTGCGGAGGACCCGGGCCTCCTGGCGGATCTGGTGTGAAGCATCTCGCTGCCGCTCGGCATTGGTGGACAACAGGTAGCCATTGGTGTGCCAGTCGGGCAACTGGAATCGTTGACTGGGCTTGACGCTCAGCGTGGCCATGGTGCTGGGACCGAAGGGTCAGAACACCCTAGGCCTGTTCCGATCGCCCACCTCTGCTGGCGAAGGAAAACGAGGCTGCAGGAGACCACTCAGGAGATCCTGTTCTGGATCAAAAGTCCCCTCCAAAGGATGTGCTTCTTTCTGTCCATCTCGTGCAAGACCGCTTCCTGCGGGAAGCCTACCTGGGGACAGCCCTGACTCTACTAGCTTTGTGGGAGGCGTTCACCAAGTTTCCTCCCACCCGTCCATCCACAGGCACAAACTCCTGGACCCCGCGGGTCCTGGAAAATGGTGAAAGGGGACAATGGAATCCGTGTGTGTGTGTGTGTGTGTGTGTGTGTGTGTGTGTGTGTGTGTTGCCAAGTCCTTCCTGAGGCTGGAGGAGGGAGGGCAGTTAGCAGAGAAAATAGCCCTTAATCCAGGTTCCACCCCCACTTCCAACAACCCAGTGTAGTGGAACTTTCTTTGTTTTTTTCGCCCCAGCTTTGGGGCCAGGACCCTGGGGCTCTAAGAGGAGAAGCCCTGCTCTCCATCCAAGGAGAGGAGGAGCTAGTTTTGCAGAGGACACAGGTTGGTGCTGGGGAGTTGTGTGTGTGTGGGGGGAAGGATGGCTCCACCTCCTCCCCTCCGCCTTTTGTGGGAGGAGGAAGGGAGGGTATGTGAGGGCTCCCATTGGGAGGAACTGGGGTCCATCTAGGTCCCAGCCCAGCCCTCTCTGCCCTCCCCCCCCCCCCCCCCGCTCCCGACGTTCATCTTTGATTTGAATCGATATACTGGCGCAGGCGCCGAGAAAGGAGGAGGCGGGGGAGAGGGAGGGTGCTCGGCTTAGGGAGAGCCCACCCGCCCCGCTCGGCGAGTCCTCTCACCTCCAGCCCCTGTCGCACTTCCTCCTCGCGTCGCAAGCGCCTCTGTTCGGCGCCCCCGGTTGCTAGGCACCCGCCCTCGGCGCTCGCCTGACCTCCGCCGGCTGTTTGGTTGGCCGTCGCCGGGCGGCTCCGCGGGGCGGAAGGCTCGCCGGGTCCAGGACAGTGGGGGGCCGCGGGGGTCGTGGGGGCGTGGGCGGTGTCGAGAGGAGGGCATCGAATATCCCGTTTACTCCATTTACACGTTAAACATTTATATTTTGATAAAAGTTATGCATCGACATGGTAAAAATATATACATATTTTATAATACATAATATATACAGTATATATATGCAGTATACACACATAAACACACAGTACATAAAAATGTAATCTCCAGCTCAGGCTCAATCCCCAGCAGGTAGCTTCCAAAAATTATATACTATATATTAATATAATTAATTATTATGTTAACACACATTATTGACACACATTCTTTTCGTCCTGGATTGCCCAAGAATTGCATCCCTCTGCTTGATGGCAGAGATGGAATGATGCTTGTACTTGGAGAGGTCGCATCCCTGGGAGAGGTAACTATGGTGTTAGAAGCAAAGCTCGAAATCCAGCCATTTT